CGTACATTAAAAAGAAACAACTCTCGAACACCTCGTTTAACTGTAGCGATCCACCAAAATCGCACGTTAACAATATGAAAGAAATACGAGAAAACGATGTATGCGAAAGAAAGACGAAATATTGTTTGTGAAAATAATATACACGAAATAGAAATGAAATATTATTTTTTGGCGAAAGATAAAATATTGTTTATGAGAAAGTGAGAAAAATTTTTGTCAAAAGAGATTTGAAATGTTGTTTGTGAGAAAATATTGAAGAGTTTGATTAAAAATAGTTCAAGGAAAATGAATCTTTTTATAAGCTTTCGGTTAAATAGAATTTATTTTAATAGTATAATACATTGCATGTAATTCATTTAACTTTTGACTAATGCAATTAATTATTTTAATTTCGATTATAATGCGGTAATTGTTTTATAATTCAGTATTCTTTAAATTTTACTTATAATGCAAGTATTCTTTTAAGTTTTCAGTTTAATGTGATAATTGATTTAAATTATGATAATAATTTTGAAGTTTCAATACAGATATTCTTTTAAATTTTATTTATAATACGGTAATTGTTTTATAATTCAGTATTCCGTTTATAATGCAAGTATTCTTTTAAGTTTCAATTTAATGTGATAATAGTTTTAAATTTCGATTATAATATGATAATTCTTAAAAATTACAATTACCATTCGGTAATTATTTTAAGTTTTGATTATAATGTAAGTTATCGATTATAATGCAAATATTAATACAAGTTTTATTTCGCTGCAATCTATATTAATTGTTTCATTTATATATATAAATTGTTCATTGATATTGACAAAAAACATTAATTTCAAATTTTCAAATGATAAGAAATAGGTTTATTTCAAATATTATTGGTAATAAGCTAACAAAATGACCATTTCTACCATTTGAGTCAACTCAAAAAAAAAGTTAACAAAGTTCCTTGTTATTGTAATAAGTGTAATGGAAAATTAGTTTTAAATTAAACCAAACTTTTTCATGAATCAGCAAGTGGTTCATCAACGATTCGTGATGGTTTAAGTGGTTCATAACAATTTGTAGTGGCTCTGTTATCGAACAATTATATTCAGATTTTAATAAATTGATACTTGATACTGAATCACCTGCTGAAATCAAATCACAAGATTCAAGGAACGAAATAATGATGATAATTCTCGAGTTTTAAGAATCAAAATGACTGATAATTATCTGAAATTACCGAATTTACCTCAAAAATGTACAAGAGTCACCTGCAAATTACTGACGATTTGAGTGACTCTGAGAATGAGCAACATACTGAGTCTTCATTAAATGAGAATAGTGAACATAATGAAAGATGACATATCGAATCTTCTATGAGTGAAGACAAATATGTTTCTGATGATTTACTTGTTTTTAAAACTTTTGAAGATTATTCTCCACCAAAATATGAACTATATCAAGATGAAGAAGAGGAAGTAACGATCAATAATCAATTTGCATGGATTTTATTATGGTTAATAAACTTTCGAATTAGGTTCAACATACCAGAAACTGCAACTGAGTCTCTTATAAAATTTATGAAATTATTTTAACTGAAATCAGTAGTAATAAGTTTAACAGATTTCCAAGTACTCTTTATTTAGCAAAGAAATCACTTGGCCTCAAAAACCAATTTCATAGTTTCATATCTTATATGAAATGTCATAAACTTTGCAAAAAAGATGAAGTGATAAACTTTCGACAGAATAATACTTTATTAATTATGAAATGCAATCATGTCAAATTTTCAAATTCATGAATTCACAGATTATGGTCTTGTAATACACCATTGTCTTGTAAAATAGATAATTCAAATTTTTTCAACCAAAATTAATTTATTCATTTATCAGCATTCAAGAACAACTTAGTATTATGTTTTATCGACAAGGGTTTGAAAATTATCTACGTTATTGGGCTAATAGAACAAGTTTCAGTAACATATTGGTTAATATATATGATGGACAAGTTTGGAAGACATTTAAAGAAAATGGTTCAGAAATCTTACTAAAATTTTTCAGATCTGATGTAGCTGATTCACATTTAGGCTTAATGTTAAATTTAATTAGTTTCAACCATTTAACGGAACAATTCATAGCATTAGAGTATTATATGCCACAATTTGTAATCTTCTGAGAGACATTCGATTCAAGCATGAAAATTTACTAATTCTTGGAATTATATTCAGCCCGAATGAAGTGAGATTACGCAAAATAAATCATTATTTAGCATCAATTATTAACGAATTAGAGTTACTTTGGAATGGTGTGACTCTAAATCGAACATACAGATATTAAGAAGGAAGGAGAATTCATGCAGTATTAATCCTTGCTTCATGCGATATTCCCGCAGCAAGAAAAATTTGCAGTCATGTTTCGGCATTAGTGTCATATCATAGGTGCGAAAAGAAGGCAGGCAAATTATGAAAATTGGTAACATAATTTTGCTGGAATGAGTAACATAAACGAATGGTTTATTTCCTGGGATTCATCACAACATTGAGAGGATGCACTTGGCTGGCGAAGATGCAATTCAGACGCTGACAGAAAGAGATTTGTAAAGCATACTGCGTTAGATGGTCTGAGTTACTTCATTTACCATACTTTAACTCAATTCATTTTTTAACGGTCGACCCAATGCATTATCTATTTTTAGGCATAGCAAAATGGATAGTTAAACGAATTTGGGTTAATGAGAAGGTTTTAATTTCGGATGCTCTTAAAAGTATCCAAAGGAATATGAATCAGATTTAAGTTCCAGCTGATTTAAATAGAATTCCTCGAAAAATTGACTGCAGAGAAGGTTTTTCTAACTTCACAGCAGACCAATGGTGAACAATTTATACAATTTATGCAACTACATCGCTTTAGGAATATTTATCTGTAATCGACTGAATGATTCTAACACATTTTGTTAGAGTTTATTCGATTTTGGTAGGTCAAATTCTGGAACTCGATTCAATACAAGAAGCTCACAAAAGGTTGATTAAAATAGTAAAACTTATTAAAGAGCATTATAGGCGTGATAAAATAACACTGAATCTCTACCTTTTGCTCTATTTATGAGAATGCTCATACAATTTTGGCCTTTTATATACTTTCTGGTGTTTCTCATGTGAACGTATGAATGGGATACTCAGTAATTATAGCTTCTTTTTTTTTGCTGATTTATATAACAAAATATGCTAGTAAATAATGAAATATGTTAATAATATTTAGGTTCGTTACCGAGTAGTCATAGACAAATTGAGCCAAAAATAATGTGCAGATTAATGAATGATAATCATATTAGAGAAATCAGTAGTTTAGTAGATATTCGAACAAAAGGTTTAGATTTGCTTGATAATCAAACTGTTGTTGATTTGTTATTAGAAGATGACGAATATTCATCAGATAAAATGAAGCAATTTTGGTCCAATTCAAGAAACATACGGGAATCGATCATTACTGGATGTGAAACATTTCCTGAAGAAATGCTAAGTTCTAAATTCGATGCGATATTGTCTAAATCGATGCTTGATTTAATGGTTGAATATTACATGACAACTTATGAAATATACAATTTTAAAGCACTATTTGACGATGGTCATGAAGATTCGATTATACTTAGTCATGTTAAAATAAATAAATTCAGTAGGTATAGAATTGGTTTAAAGGTGTTTGGCTCGGCCATGTCATCTCAACATGTGAAAAGTTCATTTATGCTAGTTAAGTCTAGTATTTTTAGTAAGCATATAATTGATTTTGAGGATAGACCGGCAGAACATAATTTAGCATTTATTCGGTGGTATAAGCTGGCAAAAACATATAAAGTTCGATATTATTTTAGTATTGATGATAATGAAAATCTTGTTATGTTGAACTATGGAAAAACGAATTTTTCCTGATATTTATGACAGTATTATTCTGGTACATAATATTCTTTGTCGATTTGTACCAGTAAAATATAAAATTTCTACTCATCTAAATGCAATTGAATATTTAGCCATAAATCAGATAAATCATAAATTTCATATTCGTTAACTTTTATTTTGTAATATAAATTTTTCATAATAAACCAAAAATTGATTAATATAATGCTGAATTATATACAATGTAACAAACGACAGTCAATTTATTATAATTTTCATGTCGAATTTTAAAGAATAACTGTATTTTTGCTAAACTTAATCATTTAAATATTTGCTGAAAGATCTTAGTATAAAAATAATGTTAAATTATATGTGTGTCATAATTTTTTATCGATTTTTGTAACTTAAGCCGAATTTTGCTAAATCATATGAATGAATCAGCTGAATATTTGCCGAATGGTATTAGTGCTGAATGAAATAATTTTGACTAGTACATATAATAGCCTTTATAGTTTCTGTACAAGGAATAATAAAAGCTGAATCTAATTAAAAAATAAATTGGTGAAATTTTGAATTATTAACAATATTAATTGCTTGAACATCATCTATTATCCAAACAACAAGAAATTGGCGTAATTCTTGTTGTTTTTCTTTTAAATATTGACGATTGTGCACTATTACATCTTGTTCTAAATTATCTGACTATATTTTTAATATAAAAAAATCATTTGATATTAATTTAGATTTATAAGGTATATTAAATAAACTAAATAAAAATATTTAACAAACCTTATTAATTTTATCATCTTTAGTAATTCTATGCCAATTTCTTAAATGAGATGTTGCATTACTAGTAGAGCCACGACTTTGAATATATATTTTTCCACATATATTTTGATTATCATCTATAATAACTTGACAAATTATTACTTAACGCTGTTGATCTTGTTTTACATGTACATGTTCAATCTAATAATCCCAAATCCAGCTAATTTTATCATGAGTATTTCTTTCGTCTACTAGCTTAGTTTCATTAAGTGGTGGTATATTCATTTTAATTTAAAAAAAATTAAGTTTTCATTAAATTTTGATTAAATTTTTTTGATTATCAAGTGTTCACAAAATTCACATGATTTACAAAGCTTAAAATATATTAAAACTCGTTAAAAACTTGTAAAAATTCTAATCGAAAAATCACATGACTATTGTTTTATGAATTTTTTTTTTATCCGCTATAATAGTAAATTTTATTAGTTTTAAAGAAAGTTTAAAATTAAAAAAATTAAAAAAAAAAGAATACCTATAATAATAAAATTCGTTTTTATAGAGATAGATTTATGTTTTAATATTTATTAATTTTACTAATCTAATAAATTATTTTATTATGACCAATACTCTATAAAATTCTTTTGAATAATAATTTTGACCAAAATTTGTAATAATCTAAAAAATAAACATATTAGTATAAATATTAAAAAAGTATAAAGAGATGTAAAAAAAATGAATTATAAATACTTGTACTGACTTTAGTTGACAAATAACAAAACAAATAACAAAGTTTAAAAAATCTTTACTAACCTTCATAAGGAGAAAAGAAAAAGCCAGAAGGCCTTTAAGAAAATTCGTAAAAAAAAAAATTTGACATTTCCAAATTTAATGGATAATCCACAGATCATCCAAAATTCAATCCATTGGGTGAATTTTTATCCGATCTATCGACAGATGATAACTTCATGCTGTAGAAGACTTGAATTATGAATTTTATCCAGTCCAAATTTAAAATATAAAACCCAGTCTGGATTTTTTAAATGTATTGTTTACAAATTGTATTTTTTTTATATTTAATTATTTTTTCACTTTTATTTAACTTTTATCTGATTTTTTTTTAAAAGAATCGGGTTATTTTTTTTTTAAAAAAAGGATCAGGTTAAAAAAAACCCGATTCCTTGTTTTTTTTTTAATAAAAAAAAAATTTAATTATCAAAAATAAATTTAGTTTAATATCAATTTTATATTAATAAAACCTGGATTGGCATATTAAACATGGACCCAGATTTTAGGCTGAACCCAGCCCGTTGCAGGCCTCTATATTATTAATTAAATTTATTAAATTTACAAATAAACTTTTCTTAAAACCTGATTCTGGTAAATTTGACAAATTTGACGGATGATCTGCAAATCATTGACCATCTCATCGTCAGATAAATTTTTTATCTGATCCGTCAAATTATCTAACAGATGATGGATATCTGAAACAAAAACGGATAATCAGTTTTCAGATTATAATTCTAACTGGATCGAGTTTTTTTTACTTGAAGTGGCTTAGGTTAGGTTTCTTTTTTTTTTGATTTTCAGTTTAATTTTTATATGTATGAAAAAAAAATTTAAGATTAGATTAAAAGGAATTACTTTTCAAAAGGTTTTTTTTAGTTGTTTTTTTAGATTAGTACTTTTTTCTTTTTGAATTTTTTGGTGAATAGTTGACAATGTACTTAAAATTTTTGAATTTTTTTAAATTCTTTATATATGTATTTTTTTTATGAAATTTTAAAAGGCCTTTTTTTTTCTAAATAAAGTTTATAAGATACATAAAATACTGGAAGAACCAGTAATACTGAAAAA